ATATATATATATATATATATATATATATATATATATATATACATATATATACTGATATACACACAGACACACCGATTGAGAAAACAAGCAAAAAAAAAAAAAAAACACAATCCCACTCCCTCCTCCTATCTCTCTCTCTATCTCTCTCTGTCTCTCTGTATATTCCCACAACAAAATTTAAAAAGCTGGCCACTCCTTCCTCCTCCTCTTATTATTATTATTCCTCTTATTATTATTATTATTATTATTATTCTTTCCACAGCACCACCATCTCCACAAGGCCCCAATACCCGCCCCAGCCATAAATCCCCCAACGTGAGCGGCGTGTCCAACGACTCCACCGGCCGGCAGCCACGCCGTTCCCGCAATGCGAGAAGTGGAATCCAACAAGGCACACACCACCGCAATAAACTCCGGCACTACTAAAGGCAAAGCAGTGGCCCAGCGATTATAATAAACAGCATTAAATCCCGCAAGGGCACAGATACCAGCACTGGCTCCACACATAAATATAGAATCGGAACGGTGTTTATCAATTTTATACATCATATCATCCGCCCAACGACGAACACGAGATGTGAGAGCAGCAAGTGGGGCCCCAGAACTATCACTATTATTATTAGAATTGCAAATATTACCAATGATTTCATTTATTCCACCTTTTGGCAATCCTGGAAATGTTAAACCACGACCATACCGTCGGTTTCTCTGTGCGTCATTAAATAGCAATTGTCCACCAATTCCACCTATAATACCACCACTAATAAATACAATAAAAGATCCAATCGTGCGTCGAATCGATACAATAATACTTTCTTCCTCTACATTCTCTATTACACTATCTCCACCAAATTCCATTAATGTTCCTGTGAGTGAAACCATATTTCCCAAAAGGTGTTCATCAGTGGCATGTACAAAGAGATGAGTGAAGAGTACTTCGGGTCTCTTTTTAAATGTATCCACAGAGAAACCGTAATCCACCACGTGAGAAAGTGCCTCCAGTTGTGAAGGCCAATGACCATCTGAACAGTGGGCAGCTAAACACATCCACACTGGGGTCAAACGAATGACCGTGCAGGCTACATCTACATGTACCATATTTTCAGTTTATTTTTTTTTTTCCTTTCTTCTTCGCTCTAATTGCTTCCAATTGGCTAATTGGTTCCTCTTTGTTTTTGCTTTATATATATATATATATATATTTTTCCCGCTTTCACTTCTTGTTTATACGTTTCTCCTGTCCTATAGTATTTTTTTTCTTATCCTTGTAGATGCATATGGTGTTAGCACACCCAAACCTATGGAAAGAGAAATACCTACCAGCAATAACACATGCAAATCAGAGAATTAAAAAAAAAAGAAAGTGTTTTAATAAGAATTAAGGGGAAATAGATTCTCCATCCCAAACCCAAATAAAAAATACATACACTATATACATATATATATATTTCTGGGTATACACAAACAGAGTTTTTTTTTTCTTTTCTCTTTTTCTTTGCCTTAACATTACGTTCAAGTATCTTTTTCCTCCTTTTACTCCAATTACAAACATACAGAATAAATAATAATAATAATAATAATAATAATAATAATAATAATAATAATAATAATAATAATAATAATAATAAACGTCTTGATAGATTGGCTTCTCCTCCAACAATTCATTGATCAATTCCATTGTTTCCCTTTACCCAATGTGTTCAGGTTTACCAGAAACATGTAGAACAAACTGATATGCGGATAGAAAAATAAGTAAAAATGTATATGAAGATACAAATATATTTTTTCTTAATTTATTCCTTTGGTTATAATTAAGTTTTTATGGTTTGTTTTCTTGTTTCTGAGTACACTCTCCCAGAAAAAAAAAAAAAAACAGAGAAACTTATACGCACGCTGTATCTCCATTTATATAATAGTATTAAGTAGATTAATCTCATTATAATCATTAACACGATGGTAGTAGTATCCAAGAAAAAAAAAAGCTCCACCTGTCGTCCCTCAGGTTAAGATATCAGATAAAACAGGTCTTAACTGACACAAAAGAAGGGGATATAAAACAGATAAAATAGCTCAAAAGGAACATCAACTCCAAATAATTCAAACACAAGGACGCATCAACACGATCCGATATCAACATTACAATAGAAAAATAAAAATAATATTAATAATGTCCACTTCAGAAAAGGATGTACAACATTGTTAGAATTCCTACCATTTCTATCCTCCACACCCCATTACGAGTGTGTGAGAAGGACGCCAGGCTTCAGGTTCTTGTCCAGTGTAATGGCGGCAGTCCAGTTGTCGGCCAGTTTCGCAATATAAGCAACAGCCCACTCCTTGTTCTTGTTCACACGTGCCTTCAGTGTGTTGCCCTTAACCAATACGCAAGCTGCCTCAACACCAAACGTACCTGTCCAGCCCTTACCATGTCCGCATTCAACCTCAGCACCAACACGCATAGGGTGTGGGCACATCCGCAGTGGCATCATCACATTAGTCTTGGCTGTCTTGAGATCCTTCACGCAGAGAGACGCGGTGCAGCAACCACAGCCAAAGCGGCCAGCCATGGACCAGCTGTTCAATGTCTTCATGCCCACAGTGTATACAGCACCGCAGCCAACCTCGCAGTGTGGACCCACAGCCAAACCGAAGCCCACATCCACTGAGTTCTTCACCAGCTTGGTGTGTGAGGAGAAGCGGCCCTGAAGGCGGCACTCATGGGAGACCTCATATTCGCCCTGCTTGCTCACAATACCCTCCACCTTGTGGCCTCGGTCCTGATAAGATGCAGTTATCTTCGCATTGCAGGTGGAGGGGAGAAAGGTGACCTTCACCGCAGCTCCGCACTGGCTGGGAACGTACTCAAGATCTGCACTGAATTTGCCGTCAGATGTGGCTGTAGGGTTCACAAAAAACGTGTCCTTGGGTCCCTTGTACTTGCACTCCACCTTCCACTTCTGGGCATCACTGTAGCTCTTCGTGAGCATGTCCTTGGCATCCTTGTTGAAGTCCTTGTACAACGTCAGAGACTTGGCTGGAGCAAACATGGTTCTTTGTTAGGCTGTTTTGGTTTTTTAGAAGAAAGCTGGATCGATTAAAACGAAAGTCTACATAGTGAAAAAAGAAAAAAGAAAAAAAAAGGGAAGAAAAAGTACGAAGAATGGGTCCTACTGGTGAGTTTCATAGATATTGGTGCATGAAATGATAACAAAATAACATATTTATTTCATTTAGTTTGTTATTGTTCTACTGAAGACCTGTCAATGTAGGTCTAACTAGAAAAAAGAGAGAGAGGATATGACGATAATAAAAATAAAAGACAGTATGAGAAAGGAAAATGCAAAATTGTCATCAAATCATCTTTCAGAGAAAGTTCATTTTCGACTATCTGGTTTAGCCTAGTTGGGGTTTTTTTTAGTATATTCATTTACCCCCTTTTTCTTTTTTTTTTTTCTTTTCTCTGATGAAAAAAGGCTTGCAGATGTTTGCAACATTTGCTTTTTTACGACTCCATTTTCCGCTTGTAATGGCTATATATGGATTGACGTTAAATTATGCTGCAGAGTCGATGTTCACGGGGTTTTCTCCGTATACCTCGTTTAGGCGGTGAACCACCATTCCACGGTGGTGAGATAATTGCTGTAAGCGGTCGTAGAGAATTGTACAACGCATATTCAACCATTTACGTTCTCTTTGTAGTAATTGTTTGGCCTCATGAAGGGCTTCAACTGTATCTAAGTGTGTGGAACGTGGAATATCAAGACGTTGCATAAATGAGAAAGGTGTAGTAGTAGTAGAGGAAGAGGAAGAGGAAGTTCCTTTATTATATGATAAAAGTTGTTTGCGACGCAACAGGCGAGCCTCTTTAATAGAAAGAATAACATCACGAATAGTCGCCGCATCGATATGTTGATCTTTAGAGGAGGAAGAAGAAGAGAAAAAGTCCATCGTTTGTGATGTGTTTTGTTGGGATTTTGGGAATTGTGTATATACAACAGAGGTTCTGGTAGTGGGTTCTCCTGCAGAAGTCATTAATGGTTCAGATTGTGTATTTATATAAGTCTTCATACCTTTAGGATTATCATTTGTGTGTTTTGACGTATTCCACTGTTTTTGTGGAGTCTCATAATGGTATTCATCACGAGAGGGCAACCATTGTGAGTTGAAGACATCTGAAGGCTCCAACTTGTTTTTATTGATGTTAACAACATCCTTTACGGTGGGTGCTTGCTGTGTATCTACCATACTCTGTGATCTCTGTTGTTCTCCTGTGAAGAGAGAGGGAGATGTTGTTTGTGCTGAGAACTCTCTTCCCATATTCACGGTCCCAATATAGCCATCATGAGAGTTTATATTATTATTATTATTATTATTATTATTAATGGCCCTTGAGAGAATAGTATTGTTCCTTGTATAGTGGGGAACAGGGGATTGTTGTAATAGCATCTCCGCCTCCCATAATAAACTAGAAGCATCCACTATGGAAGATGTTTGACTTGTGGATGGAGTTAAGGGATCTTGTTTGATGTAATGAACCCTATTCGCCTCTTCTCTCTTGTTGACTCTCTTCTTTCTATAGACTGTGGGTTTATCATTTAGAGTATCGGCCAGTACCATAGAGTGGAGAATATCCCCCGCAAGGGCTTCATGCCTTAATGATGGTCGCATCTCTTCTTCTACTTACTACTACTACTACTTACTGTGATATTATTATTATTATTGTTATTATTATTAAGGTTTGTTTTTATTTTCTTTCTTTATTATTCACTTGAACACTATATTCTCTTTCTATTTCACTAATAACATATAGAAAAATAAAAAATAAATAAAAAAGGATATTCACTACCCGTACTAATCGTAGAAAATAAAAGTTTTTTTTTCTTTTATTTTGCTTTCTTTTTTTTAAGGTAAATAATAAGAAAGAACGAAAGAAAGAAGAATTATAATGTACGAGATCAGAAAAACAAATAAATAAATAAATCATGACGATATCATTTAGTCTCTCTCTCTCTCTTTCGTTTACTTTTTTTTTTCCTTTTCTTTTTTCGTGTGTGATACAGACTGTAAAGTATAATATACTGAGCAATAATACTAAAAAAAAAAAAAAAATGACTCCGTCAACAAAAGCATAACGATAACACTGATAATAATAATAATAACTAATAACGATCATAAATGATAATAAGCATAACTGAAAAAGTGACAGAGAAAAAAAAAAAAAAAAGCAATGAAACTGAATAACTATTGTTTGTTAGTTTTTCTCCAACAAGTAAGGAAGAAATAATTTCTTCCAAAAAAAAAAA